GTCGTTGATGAAGATATTGAACAAATGTCCTATGTGTTTGAGTTGTACATATGTGGTCTAGTTCCTCAGCATGGAATGTAAATCCCCTAATGATAAAAAACATGGCACACTGGGAGCAGAAAGAAGGAAAGAGACTAGGATTCTCTCTGAATCAGACACAAATTAAACAGTCATCCTTTGCCTTTGAATTTCTTCAAAGAAGAAAATGGAATAAAAATAAAATATATGTGAAGTTGAAAAGTTTTGGGGCATAGGAGAAAAAAATTGTTTGTCAGAAGAAGCAGAGAGAGAAGGAATCTGATTCCACAAACACATTCTTTGTTGTTTGAAGTCACTTTTGTGAGAGAATGTATTCTTGCGTGTCTGGATGTTACTTAAAAATTAATGTGACTTAGTGAAATATTTTCAGTGAATTTATTGTGACTTTCTGTTTCTCCTGGTTGAGAAATATGTTTTTTCTCTTCTTCCTTTTTGGCTTTAATCTGTAGCTTAAGGTTCTTAATTTGATAATAGTCTTCTGAAATACTAGCTGATGAAGGCATTTGATCTTTTAAAGGGTAAAAAAAAAAAAGATCTTGAAACAGTACACCTATTTATATAGATGTTGGTGTACATTTCTCCATCTAGCTCAATATTTGAGCTGTTTCTCTTTCTGCAGTGCTTGCAGGACACATTTCTATCTGGCACTGTGACATGTACGCAGCAGTGGTTTGATTTCTTCCAGTGACCAGCTACACTGAAAAGTGCTGCTTCTGCAAACCGTTTCCTCTCCCTGAGCTGTGTAGTGTTGGGTATTTTCCTTTTCCTTGGGGGACTTTCTGCTGTTCCTCAGTAGGTCGTTGGTCACATGCCAATTGTGACAGCTCAAGTCAGTTCTCAAAGCAAATTGCCTTTGTAGTTTTCCCGAGGGATGTCTGATCAGAACCGTTCTCTTTCAGGTCTAGAGCACCTGAGGACTAGGGCAGTATTTGCAGAATTACTTGCTGCAGAAGACTAGAGGCCATTTAGGATTCTGAACATGGGGACTGGCATTGGACACCTTGGGCAGCAGTAGTCTGTCTCCGTGCAGGCAGGCTTCTTGGTGTCAAATCTGTCTTCCCTGTTGTCTCATCAATTAAGTCTGCAGAGAATTTTTTTGGTCCTAGAAAAGACGGTACAGATCCAAAGTTGATCTCAGGAAGCTGAATCTCAAAATCTTAAGGTCAGAGACTGCCCCAAGTTTCAGCTGTTCAAAAAGGCAACTTGTTCATGTCTCTTGAATGTTCACAGTTAACGTTTTTTCTTATCCTCCCAGGTTCCTCATCAGAAGTGCCTTTGTTTTCTTGTGGATTGTTATCAACATAATGAAGTCTCTTTCTGCTTGGTCTCACTGCAGCACTGTTGATCTCACTGAGATGCTACCTGTGGTGGCTGCCTATCCCTAGTGAAATGGGATAACCCAGTTACTCCTCTTGGATAGTCAGTTGATGGGTCACTGTCAAAGGAGTAGGACTTTCAACTTCCATAAGCAATGCTGTTACTCTTAGCCATTATTTATTTATGATTCTTATTTCTTTCCTGTTTTTCAAGTGGATGATGTTGACTAAAGGTATTTTTGTCTCAAATTTGTTTATGTTTGGATACTGAAAACAGATGAATGATATCTAGTCATAGAGCATCATGAAGTTACATGCCATTTCATACAAGGTTGTTGCAGAATCTTCAAAATATACAGTTTTTAGTTTGTTCTTCAGCACTTCTGTATCAAAGCAGTTCACAGAAGCATAGAGTCACAGAATGGTACGGGCTGGAAAGGACCTCTTGGGATCATCTAGTCCAACACCCCTATTAAAGCAGATTCACCTAGATCAGGTTGCACAGGACCCCATCCAGGCAGGTTTTAAATGTCTCCAGAGAAGGAGACTCCACAGCCCCTCTGGACAGCCTGTTCCAGTGCTTTGTCACCCTCACAGGAAAGAAGTTTTTCCTTATGTTTAGGTGGAACTTGGTTGCCTCTTGTCCTGTTGCTGAGCTCCACTGAGAAGAGACTGGCCCCATCCTCTTGACACCTGCCCTTCAGTCCTGATGCCAGGTTCTTGTTTGGCAGTGTCTCTGCTGCGTCTGGCTTTACTAATGTAGTTGTCAACCCCAGTCAATCCAAATTACAGTTTGATAATACAGGTGCTGTATCCCACTTTTGCTGGAGCATTTCTGTTCAGTCCAGTGAAATGGACTGCGCTTGTACAGCAGCAGGGTGAACTCTGGACATCACATCCAGGCAAATGGATTAGAGTCTCAGGGTGGTATTCTCTCAAGTGTGCTTTCCCTGTGTATGGCCTGGTTCTAAAAGTTTGGGATTATTTACTGGAGCTAAAAAGGACCAGTTTCTCTCTTCGATTTAAGATTTTATCTGTAGCTGTAGTTCACAACCCCTTTCTTGACCCCTCACCTCACAGGTAAATGAGTTGCTATGCTTTCTTGTCTAACAAGTCAAGATTCTCTAGAATGATAATCATACTCCTACAAAGGATTCAGTCACAGAGACATATAAACTCAAATTCACCTTCTGAGATGTTAATGGTATTTTTACAGCATCATTGATATCAAGTCCTGATAGTGCAGCATAGGCCTTTGTCAAATATTCTTCTGAAATGATGTCTACTTCCAGACCCATCCTGCATATCTCACTAATATTTTGCATAGTTGCATCTTAATGGAGATACAGAGTGTTGTTTAAAGTTACTTACTTACCATTAGTCCAAGTTCTTTGTTATTTGTAATCCTCATGCCTGTGCCTATATATACTTCTCCCTCAGAGTTCCCTCTGAAACTCTAGCTTTAGACATTTGACAATTGATAACAAACAATCCTGAGAAAACTTCTCATGAACCAGACTTGAGTGACAGATGGTGCATGAGTGCACCTCTATGAGCGCTGTAAAGTGAAACATTTTTGTCTGGCTTCAATAGACAGCATGTCTATAAATATATACTATATTTGACAATTTAATGTGTTGACTGCACACTGAGAACGTTCAATTAGTAAGTAATCTGCTTTTTTTCTTTAGAACATACTTAGTTCTAATTATCTTTAAAAAGAGACCACTGAACGAAAAACCCCAATGTTCAGTTTCTGTATGGCAAGAAATTATCTCTTTGCAGTCCTCTCTGGAATAAATACAGAATTGTCTTTGTCTTTATGATTTCTGAAACAATTTCCTTTTTAACCATACTTTTTTTACTCTTTGTAGGACTGTGACTTTAGACCATGCAACAGACAGTGCAAAAGTAATTGGGAAAGAAACTCTAAACATGTTCCACACAATGAAACTCAACATATCAGATATGCGAGGGGTGAGTTAACAGGAAAACTTAAATTTTTTTCTCTTTACCAATCTTCTTTGTTGTCTTCCATAATTTTTCAGTTCTCCAGGGTAGGCAATAACCAAACTTAAGCAATATTTAGATAGTACAAAGCTATCTTATCTAAAATAAATTAGGCTATGCAACCATATTATGTTTTGTATGTTTACCTGTATAAAAAATGATTGCAAAGCCATAAATCTAAAAAATAAATAAATAATGTGGTGTGGATTAATCCACAACTTAAAACAGCTTGGGGTAATAAAGTTAGAATGCATCTTCTACAGTTCTGTTAGCAGGTATAAGTTCAATTTTGTCTTAGAATTTCCTGAAAATTTTTGCACAGTTATTAGTTAAGTAACTAATATAAATGCTGCTTGTAATACCAATGAAAATACAGATCATAGGAGTTTTTTTCTTCAGACTGCAAGTCTTAGAGCCAGTAAAGTTATCAATGTATGGTTTGGCCTTTAAAGGTGAATTGATGGCTCTTTTGAATGATGGTTTATTTTTGAACACTCTTGCCCATCTCAGTGGTTTTGTCATAGCAGTGTGAACCCCTGATAAGACTGTTTGGCATCACATTTGTTACAACAGAGCACAGAGGCTTTCTACAGCAAACCTGCATTTATTGGTCCTCTGGATGTAGAAGTAGGGGGTTGATTCACCTTGTTGCCTTCCAAAGTCAGCTTCATGGCTTGGCTTTCTTCTTGGAGTTAAGGAAATATTTATAATCTTCTCACAGTCTTTTTCTGGTTTCTTTCTGTCTTTCCTTTGCCATCTTTCCCCACTTGTTACATTGTTCTGTTTTGCTTGATTTCTTTAGCACTTGTTTTAGGAAAAAAAAAATTAGTATCCTGGGAGTGCTGCACATGTTGTTTTGCAAAACTATGTACTACTTCTGACCAGGAGGCTCTGTTTGGTTCTGGAGGGCACTGTTCAGTTCTAGATTATATAATAAATGCAGATAAGTCCAAGGTCCCTCAGTGGTAATCCTTTCAACTGACTTCAAGTACCTCCAGTGTAGGTTTATATTGGCATTAGTCCCCTTAAGCTTCACCTATACATGAGGTGAGTTATGCTTTAAAGTGCACTTTTTCTCTCAGTATCTAGAAGAGATCCCAAAGTGATATCCTTAGCTGTTCATACCTGCACCTGGGCAGATGAATCCACTCACTTGGGCCATAGACTTCACATAATGCTTTAACTCAAATGCTTGTCCTAAAAGGCAGAAAAAACCACCAAGGCAAAGTTGTTGTACAGCACAGTAAACACAGCATTTCAAAGGCTTCTTTTAAGTTCTAGAACTCAAATCTAGAAACACTTCAAAGCAAAAGGATAAAAGTGCAAAGAAAAACTTTGTACAGTGCAGTTTTAATATCCCATTAATTGCAACTATGAAACTTAACAGACAAAATCCTTGCTATGTAATTAGAGGAGACCACCTGATAGAATAACATACACTAGCTCCTTCATGCTTTCTGAATCATACATACATTTTTTTTAAGTCTTGGAGATTTTTCTTAATAATTCTGGAGGACTAGCAGTAAACTTGTGCAGTGTACCAATGTGTTCATAGTTGGACACAGGTTTTGAGCCGTTGTGGGTCTGGTATTTAAAAGTTAATGAAAAGTGAGGAGGTCTTTCACAATGAGGAACAGCTCACTTGGTAAAGACTACTTGTACCACAGTACTTGGATCCATTGAGACCTTCTAAGAACCATGTCTAGAAGAGAAATAACATTTTTTTTATTTTTTGACTGAAGTAATGGATTTTCCTTGGGAAAAACGTTCCTTTCTTATACAGGTAGCCAGGTTTAATACTAATTACTTCCTGGTCAGTACTTCTCTATTTGTTAGTGTTGTGAGGAATTTTATAATCAATTAATTGCCTCATGATACTGTTGACAGCACTTTTCTCTTTCAGAGAGGATGATATTAAGATGGTGTTATCTTTGTAATTTCTTAGTTGTTGAATTGTGGTGGATAATCCTGAGATTAGCTTAGGATGTTTCTAGTGGCTACTTATGTGTATTTCAACATACTTTTATTTGTTCTCTCTCCACCCACAACAGACACCGAATTTCAGAGAAGGCAGTGCTATTATGAAGGAATTACAGATTCTGTATTTCTTTATTTTAATAAAACAAATGTATTAATGTTTTGGTTTTAGGTTGGAATTCAGGTACAGCAGTTAGTTCCCATCAGTAAAACCACTTCGGCTCACTCAACAGTACAATCTGGACATTTGCCTGGTGGATCACATTCAGTTATTGATCTTTTCCATGTTCAGAAGGCAAAAAAGTGCTCAGAAGAAGAACATAAGGAAGGTGAGTAAGCTTTGTACTTTGCATGTGTGATAATAATCAGTTCTGAAGGGCTCCAACATAGATTACCTCTTGGAATACTTCTTCAATATTATACAGGTACAAATTATTGAACATAAATTCTTTGAGAGCAGGTTTTGCTGCTGCAGTTAAACTACTACAAATAAAACTCTGCATAGGCTTATTCCAGTCTTTTTAAAAAGTTGATAGTAACAAAGGATACTTTGAAATAGAAAGTGTTTTAATTGTGGTATATGTTGTATAAACTATTTATCAATGAAAACTGGTAATCAGCTTCATTGTATCTTAAATCTTCAGAGTATTTTTAACCATTAGATGATCATTCTGTATATTTTTTTTTCATATGTATAGTATTTGTGGCTGCTATGGACCTTGAAATATCTTCTGATTCAAGAACTTGCACTTTCCTCCCGCCTCGCGGCGCCCATCTGACGTCAGGTCTCAGCTCTAATGTGAACAGTGCTGAGCCTGCTGTCAAGTGGAACGGTGTCCACTCTCCTGTCAGTGTGAAATCCAGGCTGAATCTGAGCATCGAGGTGCCATCTGCTTCCCAGGTAGAAACTGAGAGCATCAGACATCTGCACTCTGGTGCCACAGCCGCATTGTTTGTCTTGGACAGAGCAAAGGAAGTTACAGTAGGCTTTTTTGAGTAAAGAGAGCTCTAGGACAGTACTACTATGCACAGCAGAAACTGTTGTTGATGCAAAACTATTTTGCCTTAATAAAAGGGTATTTTAAAAGCAGTCGTTTATGGGCTAACTCGGAAAATATTAGGTTTATTCAAAGGAAAGAAGTTTATTTTTCCATTATCTTTTTTCCCTTCACTTGCCAAAGGTTTGCGATGGAACAGGAATGGAAAAGATTAAAAAAACCTTACTTCCACCTTTCACAACTAAAGCCCAGAGCCTAATTCTAAAAAACATGCAACAGACTGTAGGAAAATTTCTGTCAGAGAGATTAGATACATTTTATAGTTAATGTACAATGTTTATATGATTATGATATGATGCAGATTTATAAATTCCCTTTTCTTATGTTAGGTTTTAAAAATTATCTCTGATTAGCTTAATCACTGATGAGTGGCTCAGGAAGAGTTTTGACACGTACTGTGTGTCATTTCCATGAAGATAGAACTTTTCAATGTTTTCCATCCCTTTTATGGCAGCAATATTCTTTGGCACAGATGCCAATAAATGGTAATCAGGCAGTCTTCTCCACAGAGTTTCCTAAAGTCATGTGTTCTGTACTTGTCTATAAATTATACTGCTGTCTTCAGGCTTTAGTCAGTGAGAAGGAACTGAACAGCAACTAGTCTCACCCTACTTCATATACTTTTACAATGGTTGTGCCCTGTGTTTCTGCCTAAAAGGATGTCAAATGTGTATTTAGGTATAATTATTCATTTTCCTGTGTTTTTTCAAATTTTCCTCAAATATTGAAGCTAAGATGCACATGTAACATTTGTACAGGACATCACCTTCTAGATGGGAGGAGGACTCTTCATTTAAGTAAAATATTTCTGTGGGGTTTGGGAGCTTTTTTGTTTTAACAAAAGAGGAGCTTCCTTGTTTCCACCCCAGGTGTTACTCAAGCAGATGTCTGCTACAAAAGGGTCTGCTATGAGCAAGCAGCACTGAATTCTGTAGATACTTTAAGTATAATCAGATTTACATGCTTTTCTGTAAAAATCTGTGATTTTAAAATCTGTCATTTAAGCCTGTAAAAGCATTTGTTGATGGTCTGTTAACAGCTTTCCCAAATATTTATATATTTTTAGAAGCAAATTGTGCTTTTGGCAGAAAGCTTTTGTCTATAATGCACTACCCAAGCTAGCTCAGGATCTAAATGCAACTTGACTGAACACTGTGAAGCTCCATACACTCGGATTCTGCTACAGGTGGAATATGTATGACCAAGCAAAAACTGCAGTAGCTGTGCAGTGGGGTTCCTAAAGCTTTAGCAGCCTTAAGGCAGATGTGCTCATCTTTCCTTCTGCATTGTAGCCATATCATACTATAGAATATAACATGGAATTCCAGGGAAGGAATGTTGAGAGTTAGTCCTGTACTGCATGCTAGGAAAACAGCAGCAAGATATTTTACACCCAGGCTTTCCAGAAGATGCTTAGAGGTATATACGTAGCACATTTGGAATGAGGGAGTGCAAACAGAATGTAGAAGAATAACTGAAGAGAACAATAGTACAGAAAGCTTTCATCAAAACATTTCAGTTACCATAAACCCAAGTAGCTTTTCATGGACACTTTTAGTTCTCTGTAAATCCAGAATCTGGTCATAAACTCCAAATTTTCTTCATAAATATAAAAGTTAAAGTTTTCTAACACTTCTGTGGAGTCTCATTTTGCAGTACTTACACTGCCATTTATCTACATAGTTTTGCTCAGATTTTACTTGTGAGAAAAATGATACTGTATGTCTGCTTTTGAGTTACATTAATTCTGTCACTTGTGCAGCTGTCATTGTATACAGCAGCTTTTAGGCACTGAGGGGTCATTTCAGTTGTTTCAATAATTCACGGTAAGTAGCAACTACTGCAAGCTGAAATTTGAATCTGAAGCTTATTTCAGGATCAAAATCTCTGACAAGAGTCTGGCAGTATGCAAACATACGTAATACCATTAAATGAGTAACATGTTTCCTACAACTCTATAAAGAAGTCATTTGTTTATTCATTTGTACCAGACACCAGTTAAGTATTCATGTTGACCTGTTGCCTATATAATTTGAACTCGGAATTTAGGTTTCCTTATCACCAAGTAGTTGTAGAGGAAACTTTGTGTATGATTTGTGGTGGGAACACTGAACACTGTGAAAAGATAAAACTGAGCATTTGTGTTTACTGCACTACTTAGCCTTAAACAGTATTTTTACATTTTGCTGCTGCAGAGTGTAACTGTCAGGTTCCTAAATGTGTTTGCATACACAGAATAAAACAATATTTTTTTCTAAAACTCAAGAACTGTAGAATTAATTTTTGACTGTAAGTTAACTCTGTTATCTGTTCTTCAGAAAATTCTAAAAGCTTTTATATATTTGTAGCTAGATAAGTCCGTGCTGGAAGCTCTGCCTCCTGATCTCCGAGAACAAGTGGAGCAAATATACACCATTCAGCAAGGAGAGAGTTATGGAGATAGCAAAAAAGAACCAATAAATGGATGTAATACTGCACTTCTGCCACAACCAGTTGGAACAGTGCTTTTACAAATACCAGAGTTCCAAGAACCAAATACCAATGTGGGAATTAATGTAATAGCCTTGCCAGCTTTCTGCCAGGTAGGATGCTTGCAGGGTATTAGTGAACATCACATTTCCTTCTATAGGAGGAGCTAACAGCTTTTCCTTGAGACAGCATTTACTAGAATCTGTGACTTCTCAAAATTATTTATGGTCCTTTAATACTACTTTCAGATGTTACTTGATTATCATATGGCATGATAGTATTCATTAAAGATTTAGTCATCAGTATGCGTATGTTTTGCTGTTGTTTAATATAAAACCTCCTCTTTCACACTTCGCTTTGCAATCCAGTGTGTAGATGCTCTTTCCCAATGTTTTAAATAACCTTTTCCCTGCATTTCAGCTGGGTTACACTGCACCATAAGTCTGAAGCAGTCCTAAAATCTGCCTAGCTAGTCACAGGAGACTCACTCTGTTTTAAGTGGATGTTTTGATTATGTAAAGCCAGCTTCTACTAGCTTCTGTAGATGTGAATGTTTGTATCACCCTCCTGGGAGAAAGGCAGGCATGGCTAAAGATTGTGCATATCTCTACTTTTAAATGAGCCCATACACAGCACGTCCAGGATGAGGGAAATGAAAACTTGTTTCTCAAAGTAGGGGCCTGAAGGGTGAGCAGGTAGCGGTAATGGTGCTTCTGATGGTACTCCAGCCTTCAATCCAAGATGGTGCTGAACAAATGGGTCTGAAAAAGAACTGGCTTGATGGCCGCAC